GTGGCCTTTGGGAGGCCGGCGTTAAGTCGCTAAAATTTCACCTCAAAAGAGTTATTCAAAATGCTCTTCTTGTGTATGAGGACTTTCTGACCTTATTAGTACAAGTTGAATCAATTTTAAATTCTCGACCGCTGCATCCTGCAAGTTCTGATCCAAATGATATCAGTCCTATTACACCGGCTCATTTTCTTATTGGAAGAACTTTTACTTCACTACCAGAATTAAATAACGAAGACATTCCAGACAATAGACTAAGTCGTTTTCAACGTCTTCAGAGCATTAGGCAACATATTTGGAATCGTTGGTCAAAGGACTATTTGACAGAACTTCAACGTCGTCAGAAATGGTCAACTAATAACCCAAATATTCAATTAAATAGGTTAGTCACCATTAAAGAAAACACGCCTCCATTACATTGGAAATTGGGAAGAGTGATAGCTTTACACCCTGGACAAGATGGTGTTGTACGTGCAGTAACATTAAAAACCGCTAATGGAGAAGTATGTCGTGCTGTTGCTAATATATGTCCTTTACCTATCCAAACATTGTAATTGTACATTTTACAGACTCAGTGTTATTTTGTTTTTATTCAACTTCATTGAAATTCTTTCAAGGCGGGGGGCATGTTGGAGCCTACTCTGCCCTTTCAATTTCATGTTACCATAGATATAGGTAATTTTTAGTCAGTTAAGAAATGTAATGTCATATATTTAAAAATATACAGAAATTCAATTTACATTTTGATTCATTTTCACGTTAAAAGAAAAGTACAAAAAAAACAATACAGTCACAAACACATCCAACGTCCAATTAGAAGTATTTAGATTACAGGCAACATTTTCAGACACTTATTTTTCTTTTTTGTCATCTATTTTGAACTTTTCAATTCATTCATTATTACTGTTTATTTTGTTGACATAACTAAGTCCTTCATGCAAATTGTAATTATACGGTTTTGCTAATTGAAATAAGAGTTCATTTTTGTGTTTAATTTGTTATATCATGAATCAGTTATTTTTAAATAAATATAGATACGTTTTAAAAGTTTTAACTTTACTAGTAAGGGGTAGAGCGCAATTACATAGTACAGGCCACATGCCTCGTCGAAAAGAAGATGTATATATCTGCATAACATGAGAAATTGTCTACTTCATAAGAACGTCACTAGATGCCACGCGAGATTGCCTCAAACGCTTTTTACTAGAGCGTTATCCTACTATAATATCTTCATACAATGGTATAACTTTTCAATGTTGTATGACAAGTTAAAGGGGGTGAATGCTGTATTTTGTCATTTAAGCTTCCCTTTGTAACCTAGAAACGGTTTTAAGCATTTTCTGATACCATCTTAAGTTTATGAGATCTAGCCATTTAAGTTTTTAAATTATTGCTCTATTATAGTAAAACATATGTATTTTGTATTTTTTGTCTGTATATTAATGAACTTTTTTTTATGGAGTGTATGAATGGCATCAGCCCAACATTTTGTTACGTTACTTCAAGTAGTGGCCTTTCGGTGGGGGTTTGCAATTGGTAAGTCGACTTTTTGTCACAACGGGCGGCAGAAGGCCGTCGTCACTTTTCCAGCAATAAGTAGTGAAAGGCCTGTACATGGCCAGCAGTTTCCCATAATATTAATGTTAACTTCCTAATAAAGGGCTTATAAAAATGATACCGAGCTTTTAAAAGGAATGTACCACATGTGTCTTCTACAAAAACTATATTGTATAAGTAAGAAATTACAATGAATGGTGAATAGTGAATACCAGCAATCCAAAAACTGGCGGCATAGTACATGTCCACTCGTTGAGTATTTAGCAAGCGATCATCGGTGTCTTCATCTATGAACACGGGACAGAGTTCACCTGGACTGTTGGGGTTTGGGTCTCCAGCAGTTAAAAGCCTTTTGACCTCGATTTTACCCAATAGAGTTATCGTTCATATGGCCATCATCAACTAACATAATGCTGGGCCACTATCGAAAGGCCAAAAGTAGGTTTTTATCTTTTAATCGTCGCATTCATTTTCCCTTCAATTACAGCAAAAGGCCGCAGTATCCCGGCAATTCATTGTCTGTTGGGATACAATATAAACTCATCATTAACAAGTGTACCAACGCAACATTTGTAAATAATTGAGGTTTGAACACTTATTGCATATATCCTATTACCAGGACAATACACTATTCATGAATATTAATTAAGTTTAGTTTTATTTTTATATCTATCAAATTCGCCATGAAGCGGCTTCATGAATTAATTAATGAAAACATTCTTAGACGTAAAGTACTCATTAAACATTACTTAAAATATTTGCCTTTCTATTTTTTTTCGCTGATTTCTGTAATCTCTGTTGTAAAGTAAAAAAAGTAAAATATTCGAAAAACTGCATTAAACAAATTACCTATACAAATTATTTCAAGGTGTGGGACGAGGTAAGTAGTTTTCCATAGTTTCAAAAAATAAATATTCCAACTGATAAATGTACTGATGAAAACATTCGATTAGTGTTTTTAGACTTCCAAATAATGAGTCCAATAGAAAGGGTGCAAAAGAAATTTCTAAAGTACTGTGCTTTTAGATTGAATGTTCAGTATGATTATTTGGAAAATTTGAAATTACTCAATCTAGATCAATTGGAGAAAAGAAGAATAATGTTAGATCTTTCTTTTATGTATAATATAATTAATGGAATTTACTTCTGTCCTAACATTGTGGAGCAAATATATCTCAGAGTTCCTTCAAGGCTGTTGAGATCAAATGATTTATTTTGTATCCCTATGCATTATACAAACTATGGCAAACCTTCACCTATATCCGGAACACTTAACATCCTAAATTTCTGTAAAAACATTGATGTTTTCAATGATTCCTACAACAAATTTAAACATAAAATAAAACAATGATATTTTTTTTTAACTATATTCTGCGCTCTCACTAGATATGTATTATGTTGTCAGTTTTATGTATACATATATTAATTTTTATATGCATTTTTACATGCATAATTGAAATGTAATATATTTAAGAATGTAATTAACAATGTAATGGGGTTTTCCTAAATAAATAAAATAATAATAAAAAAAGATAAAAATCTGTTTAAACCTAATATATTTAAGTATGTGTTTGTATCATTACTTTCAATATTAAATAAATTGATGTATAAATTTCAATGCTTTGTTCATCTATTTCAGATAAATATATTTCTAAATCATTTTTATAATTTAGTTTGTTTCTAGCAGGAGATCTATAGTATGCAGTTAAACCTATTTTATCATTTTTATTATTATGCACACGAAGGTTCATTGTAAATTTCAAGAAGTTATACAGAGTGTAAAATATTTGTAGACAAAATGACAAAGTTTGAATAAACCTGGGTCCCCAAAGTGACGGTTTTAGAGATATGGAAGTTTATTCTTTCTTATCTCCTTTTTTATTTTGCAAAAACTTGCATATTTTTTATCATAGTTGGCGGATTTTTTTGTGAAATAAACCTAAGTATTTGACTGTTGTTGTTAGCGCACAAGTTTACGTTTGCTATAATTGTTTACTAAAACACAGAATTAACCGACATGCGTTTTATGATTGGTCATGCCAATGAGATTGCCACCTAAGCACGACGAAGTTATAGTGAATATCCAAATCGCCAGATTCCTTCCTTCAGATCATATGTTTGGAAGAATTCACCAAAGATTACGTAATACCAGTTTATTGAACAAACAGTGTTAAATCAAAAAAGGAGGTAAAAAAGAATAACATACCATATCTCTGAAACCGTTTGAAGACCCATATTTATTAAGACTCTTTTATTTTGGTTCATACTAAATATTTTACACTCTTTTTTAACACCCCGGATTATTTATAGGTACATCTACTAACATACCCTTTTTTTTATGTATTATCATTAACCCCATCACATTTATTAATTGTTGACTTGTTATTGCTTATAGCGTCTTCAAATGGCGTACCACTAGCACGGGGACAGATCGCGCAGCCACCGAGCAGTGCATAAACTTATTTAATATTGCACTAGAGTAGTTCTGCTCGCTAAAAGTTTCACGTATTCGCTCCGGGCGAAGTCATGGAAAGGGAAGCAAAAGCGATACTAGCGCTAGCTGCGGATAATTCGTGCATTTTAGGGCGATATTTTGTAATTTTGGCATATCAAATACACGTATACATTTTACTTTTTTTCAAAGAAGTAGGTAAAAATAATACAATAAGCAACCGGAGTTGAAAATTGTACAAATACTAGCAAAAAAAAAACAGTGAAACTTATATAAAAAAATTCAGTAGCAAAGTGGAGATTAAATGGATAGGTGTACAATAAGAAGAAAATGTACCTTTATTTTTGTAATAATAACAGTAATGCTGGAAATAGTAGACATCAGAAACTTGAAAGGTTTTAAATAAACAATAAATTATCATTTTACGATGTTCTTTAATATCCCTTTATTCTTAAATGTTCATTAAGCAAGGACTAGATTTCAAGATTTCTGCCTTTGATTATTATATGTGGCTGGAATGCAATTTTGTGAATTTCTGATGGGAAACCAGTTTTAATCATTCATTCTATGTTTTCTTTCGAACAAAAATGAAAATATAAATAACGATCCTTTTTTTATACATTTTAACTTCACGCTATTATTAAATGGTATTTTTTTATTTTGACAGAATAGGCTAATTTTTCAATGACAACTTCTCATACATTTTCCAGTAAATACTGTTGCCTGCCTATATTTTATTATTGATTTTTATCGATTATACATAATTTTCTTTAATTTAAGCGATAAAAATATATAATAATAATAAATTAATGTTTTACTTGTTTTACAAATCCATATACTTTTATTAAAACTAACATATATACTTTTTAATTACGAATTCTATTAAAAGTTGCATTTGTCAGTATACGCAGAAATAGTCCATTAATACCAAAACGAATTGGCGCTGATGTCGCGCATGGAGCGAAACTTGGATCATGTTAGTCCTTTCAGCGCACTTTGACACTGACAGCTGTTTTAAAAAAGATCAGTTTTCCCCAGTTTTCCTATATAAAATGGAACAACCTATTGAAGTTGTTGATATTTTAAGAAATGGGGGTAAATGCAAATAATAATGAAGAAGAAATGACATTGTGTCGAGTATGTGTCCAAAATGATATTGATGTTATTAATAAAAGCAGCCCTAGTAGCTTCGAAGCTGAATGCAGTAAGAAACATGAATGGACAAGTGAAGAATCCAGATTTTTACTTGATTATTATGGTGAGTCCCTGCCTCTTGTAGGTTCCAATAAAACATTTGGAAGATCTGCAAAAAAATTAATACCTTACAAATTGAACTCGTCACTAACTTGGGTACAGTGTGAAAACAGATATAAAACGATACTGGAAAGAAAAAAAGCATAAAAATAGAAAATTCTATGACTGATCAAATTCGAAAAAATATAGAATTTAAAGCAGAGTTAGAGAAATTGCATCATCCGTAGACCATAGCTTTTAACTGGAGGTTTTGAGAAGTGGTGATAAAATTGTTGTAGAAGCAAAGCAGGTCAAGCTAGAAAAAGCAAAAAAATAAACAATTCACTGAAACAATTCTTCTAAAAATCCACAAGAAAAGGAAGAAAACAAAGAATGAAGACACAGAGAAGCTGGATTTCACATAAAAATTACTAGAAAAATAGTCTTGTTTTCTTTTGAAAGATAATTGTATGAAATGTTATGTTCTTTTGAACATTTTATTTTTCTGTTCTGACTCAAAAAAAATATTGTACCGATTAGTGTTTTAATACATATTAATAAAAATGTATCCTTAATTTAAAGAAAATTTAAATATTTAACTGTTGGCCCAACAAGTCTCTTTTCAGTGCCCCATTCCTCCTCTCTGTTCTATCATCTTGTGGATTTCCAATATTTTTTTTTCTTTCTTCCACAATAAAAATTTACCATATCATTATCGTCTGTACACCTGCTACTATTTAGCTCCTTCGAAACAAAATTGAATAACTATTTTTTTTATGATGCATTATCACATTTAATTACATGTACCTATTCTTTTCACAGATACATTTTTCAAGAATATTATAGGTTATACTATTGTAGAGCAATCATAAAACCGTCAAATGTGTCAGTGCAAAAATACAACCCTAGCGCTACACTGATATTTCGTTTGAATATAAAACCTTGGTCAGTGCATGTCAACTGAAGTCATAAAAATGTTGCACTAAAACAGTAACTTAAAAGTGCAAGTCCACTTGAAGACAAAAAAATAAGGTCTGGTGCAGTGCGATTTGATTTGAAGACAAATACTCAATTAGTTTTGAAATAGTGCGCCATTTGAAGACGCTATTAGATACAATCCACAGCATTTATTTTCCTCTTTTTTGCTCTTATATTTTATCTTTTTTGCTCTTATATTTTATCTTTTTTAAAATACAGACTAAAGATACGTTTACATCTGACATTTATTGCATGATATTTATGTCTGACAGTTGTTTAGTCCAGTGTAAACACTCAAACATATATCTCCGAGAGAAATTTTGGTGTGTTTTCACTGGACTAAACAAATGTCAGACATAAATCTCATGCAATAAATGTCAGATGTAAACGTACCTTTATAAAATAGATCACAAAATGCTGTCATTAAAAAAACATCGATAATTCTTGTAATGTAAAACCCCCTTAACTTACATGCTGTAGTGCAACCCCCCCCCCCCCCCAAGCAGTAATCGGCTAAAGTCAAAGGAAACGGCGGCGCGAGTGTCAGTCCAAGCTTACATCTAATTGCTTTTATACTTTGTTTTATTAGTAAAATTACATTAATAAAACCCTCGATAAAACCATATGTCATTATGTAAATAATGTGAAAAATATCACCTTTTTTACTTTTTCAAAAGACATTTTGTAACGTCTGGATTTTTTCCTAAATTTGTCCTGGCAGGAGAAGCTTTCACCTGGTAACCCTATTTTTATTGGACAAAAATTCACAGTGTCTAACTACGCGACAATATTAAAACACAATGTTAATTATAATCCTTATAATATATTTTCCTATACATTGCCAAAGAGACAGGTTTACTACCAACTTTATCACACATTTCTTTATAGTCATTATACATATTTGGAATATTTTGTTTACAATCGACAATTACAGCATTACCACTCTCTGTGATTAATTTGGATTCAATGCATTGAAAATGTTCTATATGCATTTTGACATTCCTTATATCCTCAAATTTTGTTTTATTGTATGGTTCTTTTTTACCTCTTTTGTCTTCTGTTGAATAGAAACTTCCTTCTCCTTTATGCTTGAATGTATGTTCAATAACATCTCTGCTTATACATAATGTTTTTGTAAAAAAATCTTTACAAACCCTCACTCTGGTATTCAATTTTGACATTAAATAATATACTTTAGAATCTATTCGTGGTTTCCTTTTGCTCCCAGTTTTTTGTCTACGCCTTTCAGGTATGTGGCTTTCAACATGTTTTAAAATAAAATTTTTTCTATTTTTAAAATCACATTCCCAGTAGTTTTTACATATAGCCTTTCGATAATCTGGTTCAATTTTTTCTGAACATTTAAAACGACACTTTAAACAATTTATTTCTTTTGGTTCCTTGTTTTCAATTTTTTCACGTCTGGTTTTGTATTTTTGCCAACTACTTGGATCCGGTACTTTTGATCGTCTTCTTTTTGTTGCTAGTTCATTTTTGTTGTCATTGCAGTTTTTCGGTACTAGTGGAACTTCAAATGATTCACATTCCTCATTAAAGGTAGATATAGAAACTTCTAAACAGTTTTCCAAAAAGTGGGGAATATTATCATCTTCAGAACTAAATTCTCTTGAAGAATTACTGTCTTGGTCATTTCTACTGCGTATTTTACTAGAAGAGGCTGATGGGCTATATGGACATACCTTTTCTGAAAGAAACAAATGAACATCAATTGTTTACAGTATCTAAACCACAAACAGTCTCTGACTTTGTGGTTATTTATTGTTTACATAGGTATTATTGTGTTCACATTAATTGACTTTACCTTTTTTAAGTCTTTTTGGAGATGCTGCACAGGATAACATTTCTTTAATTTTTGAAAAACAAACATAAATACTCAAAAAGTAGGGTTATGACATTTTAGATATTTTAAGGAAGTGACTATTCATCCGGGTTCCCGGACAAAGAGTGGGTTACATAAAAGATTACATTTTAAATCCAGGATAATACATTTTGTCTATGGATATTTATTATCTCTAGATTAGAAAATCCCATGACTTTGTAACGAACCAGATTTTAATTCTTTGATCCATCAAAATAGTTGTCATTTATTTTGGATTGATGTTTAACTACAAAAAGTTAACAAAATGAATGTAAGCAAGCGTGAAAAGTGCAAGAACTTTACTGAATTAGACAAGATAAATTTACTAAATATTACCAATATAATTAAAAGTCAAACTTCAAACTTGTGTATACAAATGTCTATATAATCCTTCAATAATACAACCCACATATATGACGGCTTAGTTAACAAAATCTAGAGATAATAAATATTTTTTCTACGACCGTGTATTTTTACCCACTTTCCCACACGGATTTTAGTTTTGAAAGTGTCACTTTCCCGCACTAGTGTGGGAAAAAATCACTTTCCCGCACTAGTGCGGGAAAGTAAAATTATGAATATTTGGCCTTACCTATTGTATAGTACAATAATACAATAGGTAATTTAGTATTTTCCAACTATTCCATTTAATAAAATTTACTTTTTTTCTTGCTTTTTGTTATAATTTTAATTTTTTGGAAAACTTGAATAATAGAGATATTTGTATATACCTTCTGTATATTTTTAAAAGTCAGACTAGGCTGTGACATGTATGGCTTGATATGGTTGCTATATGGTAACCAAGGCGTGTTATTGTTACAAAAACGTCAAAGTTGTTTGTTGAAGCGTCAACTGAATTAAAATAAATTAAAGAAATAATGGATTCATCGGATGAAGAGCTGCCCGAAGCCATTTTAAAAGCTGCAAATGAAGCACATTTGGAGGTGTTACCTGCCAAATCACGAGGAAGATATGAAAAACAATACGACCATTTTGTTACATGGTGTAAACAGGAAGGGGTAAAAACCTACAAAGAAGAGGTGTTTCTGGCGTATTTTTCGCACCTAAGTAAGTTTTTGAAATCTAATACTTTATGGTCTCGCTATTCGATGGTGAAAAGTTTAGTAAAAATAAAACAAAATTTGGATATAAGCCTGTTCCATAAGTTAACGTCATTTCTAAAACAAAAAAATGTTGGTGAAGAAGGCGCAGGTTTTTACCAAAGAAGATATATCCAGGTTTATGTTAGCCCCTGATGAGGTATACCTTATGATTAAAGTGAGTACCATTTTTGCTTTAGCTGGTGCTCTCCGCAGAGCGGAGCTTGTAAATATCACTCTCGATGATATACAAGATAAAGGCAATCTGATAGTTGTGAAAATTTCCGATTCCAAAAATCATTCTTTAAGATCATTTGTTTTATGTGAAGAAATAAATAATGGAAACTTTCTGAAGCTGTACAGAAAGTACGCAGGTTTACGAACACCTACCACTCCGCATCGCCGCTTTTTTATTAATTATAAGAAGGGAAAATGCTCAATTCAGTGCGTTGGCGTAAACACCTTTGGTAAGATGCCAACAGAGATTGCTGCATATTTGCGTCTACCTAATCCTGAACGATATACAGGACACAGTTTTAGACGTTCTTCAGCAACATTCCTAGCAGACTCAGGTGAAGCAATAACCAATATAAAACGTCTCGGTGGCTGGAAGTCCACTACTATCGCTGAAGGCTATTTGGAGGACTCCGAAACACAGAAGAAAAACATTTCGAATAAAATTCTTTCAAATAGAAATGACTTGCAACCTTTGCTGCTACCGTCATTTTCACCTTCATGCGACCTGCAACCGATGTCACTCCCGTCTACGTTTTCTTTTCAATCTACGAGCGTTACGACTATTAACAGCCAATTAACACCAACTAATTCCTCTGTACCGGCAATTTTACATAATTTACAAAATGCTACAAATTGTGTATTTAACATTAATATCCATAATAATTAGTTGTTTTTATTTAAAGATTTGTATATGTTGAAATAAAATAATTTTTCCTACTTTTTTGTATATACGGTCGTAGAAAAAATAATGTTCCTAACTCATGCGTAAAGTGTCTTTCCCGCACTTGACCGCTTGCCCGAACTCCGCTTCGCGTCGTTCGGGCCAACTGCAGTCGCGTGCGGGAAAGTAACACTTTCCGCACTTGTTAGGAAAATAACTATATGCAATTTCAATTTTTAATAAAATTGGCATTTCCCATGCTCAACTTAACAGTTTTATTGGGGTCAATGATGTATACTTAGTGACATAGAAAACAGAACACCCAGTATTAATGAATTTATTACAATAATTTTTAGTATACATGTGTCTTTGGGTTAGTTAAGTAATTGATCAAAATGTAAGAAAAATCCAACCGTTGGAAAAAAGTAAAAAAATAATAGTGTGTTGGTCCTCCACGATGTCTTATGCACTCAGAAACACGTCGGGGCATACTCCTAATAAGATGGTCGATTTCCTCTTGAGGTATCTCATCCCAGGCAACTTGTACCTCATGCTGAAGTGCCGCTAGAGTCTGAGGAGGATGGGGTAAATGGAGTAATCTTCTTCCCATAATGTCCCAGACGTGTTCTATGGGTGAAAGATCGGGAGATCTAGGGGGCCAAGGCAACAAATCGACTT